TACAAACTGTATGGCCATGGCAGGCTTCTTGCTAACTGTTCTTAGAGCTTAAATTAATCCATTTCCATAAATCTATACCTTGCCACGTGGCTCATGGCTTACCTGCATCTTCACATGCTGCTTGTCATGGTGACGGCTGGCAGTGACTTCTTTTCCCCTCCTGTTCCCTTAATTCTCCTTTCTGTTAGTCCTGCCTATGCTTCCTGCCTGGCCACTGGCCAATCAGTGTTTTATTTATTGACCAATCAGAGCAACAGATTTGACATACAGACCATCCCACAGCAAACTTGGGTGTCCCTGCTTTTGAAGCATAGATGCTAAAAATTGAAGTGTCATCTTGGTGGATTTTCCTTTAGATGAGTATGAAGTGCCCCTCCAAGTCTCTTTTGATTAATTTTGGTTTGACATCTAATTTGTTAGACATTAGAATGTCTACTCCATGATGCTTCTTAGGTCCATTTGCTTGGAATATATTTTTCCAGCCCTTTACTCTGAGGTAATATCTATCTTTGATATTGAGGTGTGTTTTTTGTATGCAGCAGAAGGATGGATCCTGGTTTGGCTTCCATTCTATTAGTCTGTGTCTTTTTTATTGGGGAATAATGTCCATTGATATTGAGAGATATCAATGGCCAAAAATTTTAATTCTTGCTATTTTGTTGTTATTGTTGTTGTTGGTGGTGGTGTATGTGTATGTGTATGTGTGTGTGTGCTTCCCTTCTTTTGGTTTTGCTGGGGTTAAATTATTTATTTTCTGTGTTTTCATAGGCATTATTAACATCTTTGGGTTGGAGTTTTCTTTCTATTACCTTCTGTAGGGCTGGATTTGTGGATAGATACTGTTTGAATTTGAATTTATTGTTAAATATCATGAAATAGCTCCATCTATGTTGATTAAAAGTTTTGCTGGGTATAGTAGTCTTGGCTGTCATCTACAGTCTCTTACAGTCTGCAGTACATCTATCCAGGCCCTTCTGGCTTTTATAGTTTCCACTGAGAAATAAGGTGTAATTCTAATAGGTATGTCTTTGTATGTTACTTGGTCTTTCCCCTTTGCAGTTTTTAATATTCTTTATTTGTTCTATATGCTTAGTGTTTTCATTATTATGTGGTGAGGGGATTTTCTTTTCTGGTTCAATTTATTTGGTGTTCTGTCTGCTTCTTGTACCTTTATAGGCATATCCTTCTTTAGATTAGGAAATTTTTCTTGTATGATTTTGTTGAAAATATTTTCTTGGCCTTTGAGCTAAGATTCTTCTCCTTGATCTATTCCTATTATATTTAGGTTTGATCTCCTTATAGAGTATAAGATTTCCTTGATGTTTTATGTCAGGAATTTTTTAGATTTATTTTTTTCTGCTGAATTATCTATTTCTTCTGTCAAATCTTGAATGCCTGAGATTCTCTCTTCCATCTCTTGTATTCTCTTGCTGATTGTGCATCTGTAGTTCTTGTTCACTTACTTAGACTTTCCATTTCCAGAATTCCTTCATTTTGTGTTTTATCTATTCATTCTATTTCCATTTTCAGGTCTTGATCAGTTTTATTCATTTCCTTCAACTGTTTGTTTTTTCTTTGCTTTCTTTATGGAATTTATTTATTTCCTCCATTTTTTGTGTTTTCCTTGATTTCTATAACGGGTTAATTCATTTTCTTCTTTAAGGATCTCTATCACCTCCATAAAGTTGGTTCTAAGGTCTTTTTCTTGTACTTTGGCTGCATTGGAATATTTTGGGCTTGCTGTAGCAGGACAGTTGAACTTTGGTAGTGCCATATCACCCTGGCTGTTGTTGATTGTATTCTTAGCCTGGCATCCAGGTATCTGGGTTTGAGGTGATTTTAGGTCTTGGTGTCAATTTCTAAGTTTGTCCTTGTATTGTGGGTGTTTTATTTCTTGGTTTCTCTTTCCTTTTTGGTCTTTTATTCTGTGTGGCCTATGGTTGAACAGAGGGTCTTCTTCTGAGATCAGGGCTGGACTTCTCGCAACTAAAGTGGCCTCTTGTTGAGCAGGGGATCTCCATCTGAATTGGGGTCTGGGACACTGTGAGGAGGGGAGAGGCAGTTGGGGCTAGTGTCTGGGGTGGACTAGGAGAGAGGAGAAAGTCCTTGGGTGGGAGCTCTATCCAGAGTTCTGGTGGCCGAGTGGCTTCTAGTCCATCAATTGAGTCTTGGCCTGAGTTTGTCTACTAGTTCTTCTAGCTGGTGTGGTCTGCACTTGAATAGGGGATGTCTACCTATTTTGTGTGATTATTTTCAATAGATATCCAGGTAGCATGTACCAAGAAGTGGAGTCCACATGTACATCTATATCAGACAAGAGAGTCTGATATGTATGCCTCCATTTGTCTACACAAGTCTTGTTTGTGAAAGGGTTCTATTGTATTAGATTTTTCAGCTTCTGCTTCTTTCTGAACCATCTCTGCACACTTGCTGTTTCTCACCTCAGTATACACACACACACACACACACACACACACACACACACACACACATACACACACACACACACAAGGCTGGAGAGATGGCCCAGAGGTTAACAGCACTGCTCTTCCAGAGGTCCTGAGCTCAATTCCAGCAACCACATGGTGGTTCACAATCATCTGTAATGAAATCTGGTGCCCTTTTCAGGCATGCAGGCATGCATACAGGCAGGACACTATATACATAATAAATAAAGAAATCTTTAAAACATATACATATAGATAGATAGATATAGATATAGATATATAATTTGTAGGAAATGATGAAGCCCTGTATCATGAATACAAATTGCTTAAAGCTTTAATAGACTCCTTGAGAACATTTTTAAAATTTATAGAATATTTCATGTGATATAAAGATATCATTCTACCCCCACATATTCATACACTGTCCCCTATATGAACATCTTTTTAAGCAAACATGGTTGCTACAACTACCGAGTGAATACTGACGTCATTATTGATTGAAGTTCACGATTACTAGACTCTCATCTGGGATGGCAACACTGTATTTAGCTGTCACATCTCTTCAGTTTTCTCTTGGTTGGGATGAGTTTTCAAAAGATACTTGTTTTAAATTATCTGAATATCACTTCTGAGGATGACTGATCTAGTGTATTATAGGATATTCCTATATTAAAATTTGAATAATTGTTTTTGGAGAGGAAATGACAGCTGTGAAATGTTAGTTTAATTGTACACACGGTCTAAACTATAGAAATTCTTACAGATTGTTATTATCACCTGATGGTCCACTTAAAGTAGGCTGTTTTAAAGTGTACCTTTTTTTTTCATCATCTGTATCTTTTGTTTCTTTTTTTTAACTGTTCTTCTTTTATACAATACATCCCAGTTGCAGCCTCCCATCCCTCACCTCCCCCCAGGTCCATCACTCACTTATCCCTCAGATCCACTGTCCCTCCATTTCCTTTCAGAAAAGTCTTATTACACCTTGCTGTGCCGTGTTCAGCTGATAAAAGTGTACCTTTTTAAGGCTAACCAGTTGGTATTGGATAACCAATTAGGCTACTCATCCCTGGAGATTAATTCTCCCTCTCTCAGCAGGTATTATTAGCCCATAGCTCTTAGAACAATAAAAATAGGCCATGAATTTGAGAGAGAGGAGGGAACATGGCAGGGATTGGAAAGGAAATGTTATAATTATATTTTAATTAAATGTAAAAAATTGATCTTTTTTAATCCATTTTCCACATTGTAATTTTGAAAGGATGTTGCTACATGTAGCCCACATTATGGTGGAATATTGGGTTAGGTTTCTCAAGAGACAGAATAATGTATCTGTCTATATCTATCCAGGTTCTTCATAATGGTGCACAATAGTGTTTGTCGTCTGAGCCTTGTTAACGTTTACCACTAAAAATGTAATTTCTTAGTTCTTCATTGAACACTGCATGATCTGGCCATTCATTCTTCTGTCTCCTTCTGTTCTGTGATTGCTTTCTCATCTCTGACATTCTTTGTATCCATACAAGCACATAGCTATATATATGAGTGTGTAAATATAACTCCCTGTATCTGCCACAATGTTTTTCTCAATTCTTTATTTGTCATATATTTTATGCCTCTCTTATTTGGTATAGGCAGTTAAGGATCATGGTGGGAGACTGTATTTATGTATGTATGTATGTATGTATGTATGTATGTATGTACGTATTTGTTTATTTCTGTTTTGTCTCTGTTATTTAATTCAATTTCTATGGTTTTTGTTTCTCCTGATTTCTCTGTCACCTTCATTCTACTATAACCATTGAATTTAAAAGATTATTTCATAAGTTTTTCAATTATAAAATGGAAAAACATATTATTACTGATATAAAGAATTATATTTACAACACATTTGACCCTTTGACCCACCAATTTATTCTCTAAAATTCTTCCCAAGACACAATTAACTAATGTAGACAAAGCTGATCTGCTGCTATTATTCCTAATATGGGTGTAAAGAAAAGCAATGCCCTGAGAAATTGGCAAAATGGGATCTGTTAAAAATATATTCATATATCATTGTGATGGAACACTATGCAATGATTAAAATGAAGTTTGCAAAAATAAAAAAGTAATATTTACACACACTTGTTTTTTATCTTTTTTCACTTTCCTGAGGCATTCAATTTTACATTTATTTCTAGAATCT